TGTGCTCGAGAAGGCGATGGTGACTTGATGGTGTCACTGAGGATATACTGTCGATGGCAGGACAGGAGACGAGGGTGGGGCGTTACTCACCATTCCGCCTGGCCTGCAGGGGACACCTCGGGAGTGGGGGTTGTAAATCAGATGGATGAGACCAGAGCAGGAAGCACAGCCAGGAAACTCTGGCTAGAGCGAAAGCCCGGGTTCAAGACCCAGGCTCCATAAGGTTCCCTGAGCACCACCAGGAGTGATCCTTAAATGCAGAGCCAGGAGTAACCCCTGTGCATCGCCGGGTGGGACCCAAAAAGCAAAAAAATTATAATAATAAAAATAAATAACTGTAGCACTGCACTGTCCTCCTGTTGTTCATCAATAATAAATAAAATTTAAAAAACAATAATCCTGTGATTCACTACCTGCCCCTAAGAATGCTAAAACTCGAGACACACAAACAAATCTCGGACCTGAACAACTTGCTGCAGAGATGGCCCTGGACTTTGCAATAGGCTGTTTCCGGTGGGCCGTTCCAGACGGGGACAGGTGCTGTCGCTCCACCTGCCCTCCAGGAGCTCCGGCAGCTGCTGGTGGGAAAAGGGCTGCTCGTCTGCACCCCGTTTCTAGGGTTGCAGACAAGCAGGAGACAGAACCTTCAGAAAGTGTCTGATGCACAGAAAAGGGCGCTGTCTGCCGACCAGCTAACTCCAGCTATTGGGTTGATAAAAGTTCGGGGGGCAGGGTGAGGAGGGTCGGGGAATCACCCTTATTTTGGCACCAAATGCCTTTCCCTGGGGCTAGAGCAATAGCACGATGGGTAGGGCAGTTGCCTTGCACGCGTCTGACCCAGGTTCGATTCCCAGCATCCCATATGGTCCCCTGAGCACTGACAGGGGTAATTCCTGAGTGCAGAGCCAGGAGTAACCCCTGTGCATTGCCAGCTATGACCCCCCCAAAAAAGGGGAAAAAACCAAATGTCTTTCCATTTAGAAAGGATCTCACGGCTTTATGACACTAGGCCTCATCATCTTCCTTACACAGCTATGTTGTTATGTCTTTTTATGCAAAAACAAGTTTCTAAGGGGTCAGAGCAATTTTCCTTGCCTGGGTTCGATTCCTGGAACCCCACAATGGTCCCAAAACCCTGCCATGAGTATTTCTGAGTTCAGAGCCAGGAATAACCTCCGAGAGTGCTAAAGAGAAAAACAGGAAAAATTACACACACTCTCTGAAACACAGCTAAGAAGCGGCACTGGTCACCTGAGCCCTGTGTGGGATCTCATGGTTTTGCTTGTGGAAGGGTGTGACAAGGTCCAGGGTACCTGCAAAGCACAATAAAACCAGGGGTGCCTGTACTTAATTCATGGGATTTACAAAGTGTCCTTGCTGGAAAAAGGCAGATAGCGGGCTCGCACATCTGGGCCTCGCCCACACACTTTATTTGTCAATTTCATCTCAGTAAAAGTGGCAAAAAAGTATTTGCCAAAATAGTAACAGGCCCTCTTACTGCGTTCAAGACCGCCATATGCACCAGAGGCAACTGCCATGACAAAACGTTTGCTGCCCCGACAAGGATCAGCAACAGAATCTCAGATGTAAGTTTCTCCCATATTTATCCAAAGTACTGAACTTCAGTCTGCTAAGTGAATTATTTTCCCTACCACTTTCTGGAAACAACTGATCCGGGGCCAGAGATTGAGCAAAATGGGCTGGAGCACCTGGTCTGCAAGTGGGAGGCCCAGATTCCATCCCCAGCACAGCATGGCTCCCCACATGGCCAACATGGACACCAAGTGAATCAACAGAATTGGGGAGGGAGGCCGGAGGCATTCACTCGCAGATACACAAATGCACATGATTCGCATCTAACGGCATAAACGGACTCAAGGAAAAATTAAATTTTGGGGGAGGACAGTGGGCAGTGCTCAGGGCTTGCTCCTGGCTCTGCACTCTGGAATTACTCCTGGCAGATTCAGGGGAACCCTACGGCATGCTGGTGATGGAGCCTGGTCAGCGGCAAGGAAGGCAAGCACCCTAGCGGCTATACTATCACTCTAGCCGCTCCAGGAAAACCTGTAAACCAAGGACAGCATCGTGCTGCTCAGAAGAATCAAGAAGGGGCTAGAGCAACAGCAGAGCGGGTAGGGAGTTTGCCTTGCATGCGGTGACTCGGGTTCGATTCCCAGCATCCCATATGGTCCCCTGAGCACCGCGAGGGGTGATTCCTGAGCGCAGAGCCAGGAGTAAGCCCTGTGCAGTCCCGGGTGTGACCCAACAAGCAAAAATAAATAAATAAATAAAAAGAAGAAGAAGAAGAATCAAGAATAGGCCATGATGAGCAGCCAGCCAGCCCTGCCAGGGCCAGGAACAGAGTGGGCGCTGTGGTAACGAATGATTGTCAGGAGCTTAACCAAGGGCTCAGGGCTTTAAGAACGTGGATGTGTGCATGTGTGTGTGTGCATGTTTATGTGCGTGCTTGCTCGCTCAGGGCCGTCTGCTGTCAGGAAGCACCTTCTGTTCAGAACTGTGTGTCTGGACTGCCACATGACTGTCCACTGAGATGCCACCATGGTAACATCCTATCTGGACCTCAGAGCAAGATAGCTGCAGAGATGGCATGTTGGCAACTGTGCTGAGGTCCCTGAGGGAGTCCAGATAAAGGTGACTCAGGCCTGGTAGAGAGAACGCAAACGCCGCGGAGACGAAACTGCAGAACGTGGCTTAGCTGCTAGTTGGACCAAGCAGAGTGCTACCCTGCTGCTGACTGGACGAAGCAGAGTTTTGCCCAGCTGCTGACTGGAAGAAGCTGTGTTGCTAGCTGCTGATTGGATGAAGTACGGTTGACCAGATGCTGATCGGATGAAGCTGGGTTGCCCAGCTGTGATCGGATGCGGTAGAGTGTTGCTCAGCTGCTGACTGGATGAAGCACTTTCATGTGCATGGAGGCCAGGGCTGTAGAAGATGTGACCAGTCTTCTGGTAGTGGCCATCCGCAGTGTCATTCGTACTGTTGGGGTTCAAGAACAGACTAATTAAGGCTGTTAGCATAATCATTCCCTCACCAGAAGGCAGTGTATAATGTCTTTCAATCCTTGGACGCCTAGTGACTGCGTTCCGGACCAGATCAATACTGCAAGCCACTGAGACTTTTAGAGAGCTTATCTTCCTCTGTGGCACTTATTTTCAGGATTTAGTAGGGCTGGAGCCATAGCACAGCGGGCAGGGCGTTTGCCTTGCACGCGGCTGACCCGGGTTCGATTTCTCCGCCCCTCTTGGAGAGCCCAGCGAGCTACCAAGAGTATCCCACCCTCAAGGCAGAGCCTGGCAAGCTCCCTGTGGCCTAGTCATATGCCCAAAACAGTAACAACAAGTCTCACAATGGAGACATTACTGGTGTCCTATGGAGCAAATCAATGAAGAATGGGAGGACAGCGCTACAGTGCAGCAGGTTACTAAGTTGCCAGAGGAGGGTTGAGTTTACTACCTCAAATGCTGCAGGAGTTTCAGATTCAAGCATGCTTTGAGAAGCTGTCCTCTACAACCTAAATAGGAACTTGATGGGTTCCACCTTTAACGTTTCAACAGCAGGGGCTGGAGTGATAGCACAGCCGGTATGGCATTAGCCCTGCATGTCGAACCCAAGTTCGATTCGCAGCATCCCATATGGTCCCCCAAGCACCGCCAGGAGTAATTTCTGAGTGCATGAACCAGGAGTAACCCCTGTGCGTTTCCGGGTGTGACCCAAAAAGCAAAAAAAAAAAAAAAGTTTCAACACTAGGCCAGAGAGACAGCACAGCAGATACTGTGCTTGCTTTGCATTTACTGGCACCATAATGATTCCCCCAGGGCTGTCGGGAGTGACCCCTAAGCATCACTGGGTATGGTTCCCACACCAAAAAATAAATAAATGAAAGCCCGAAAACTTCAACGCTGCAGACATGAAACCTGGTGTCAAAAATAAGAGGACAGGACGTTTGCCTTGCACGCAGTGGCTGGATCTCCAGCACTTCATGTGGTCCCCCAGGCTCTGCCAGGAGTCACCCCCTGCACGCAGAGCCAGAAATAAGCCCTGAAAACTGCTGGGTATAGCCTAAAAACGTAAATTTTTTTTCAGTAAAAATTAAAAACAGGTGAGTTTTTTCTCCCCTGCGAGTGCTTGCAGCCACAGTTCAGATTTGTACATTACTTTAATAACTCTATCTACCATCATTTACCAAAAATAAAATGAAGTAAAATAAAAACATATCTGGAGGGGCTGGAGAGATAGTGCAGCAGATAGAGCGCTTGGCTTGCACGCCGTGGTTCGATCCCCAGTAAAGGTAAAAGGTAAAGGCCCTCCCGTTGATCGTCGATTTGCTCGAGCGGGCCCAGTAACGTCTCTATTGGAGACTTTGTTGTTACTGTGTCTGGCATATCGATCCCCAGTATTCCCTATTATTCCCCGAGACCCCCAGGAGTGACCCCTGAGTTCAAAACCAGGAGTCACCTTGGGCATAAATCTAGCGGCGCCTCCCAGGGACCCTGGACGAACTGGGCTCCTCAATACTATGTCTGAGTAGTTAATAAACTTAGTTTAGGAATTTTTTCCCTGCTAGCGGGTTTCGCTTCTACCGCTGCTTTTTCTGATTCTGACTTCAGGTCTGGCAGGATGCCTAACTCCTGCTTCCCGGTCATCTGTGTCCCGGAGCGGGAACCACCAAATACAACTCCGGTTATGAGCAAAGGCCCAAGCCAGGAGACTTACTTACTGTAATAGTGCGGCGAGTCAACCAACTGCGATTGCAAAGACAGACCCGGGTTCCAGGGCTGCAGCTGGGCTCCCGGGCTGCGTGCAGAACGCCGTCTGGCAATCGGCTTAGACACCTAACCAGGGGGCTGTCACTCCATCACGGGGGGGGGGGGGGTCTTCCAGGCGGCCCAATCAGGAGGGACGCCGAGATGGGTGGGCGGGGCAATTGTCAGAACCTCGCGGGACCTCGCGCCTCCTTCACTTAAAGGCACCGTGGGGGCTTCACAGTCTGTTTCGGTGCCCCGTGGCCTGCGCCGCCCGCACAGAGGGTCGTAGCTATGGCGCCGAGACCCCCGGGACCCCCAGACACGGTGAGGGCGTGGGGTTGAGATGCAGACGCGCTGGCAGCTGCGCACTGGCCGTGAAACCCGGGACTCCCCTCTTTTCTCCGCGATGGGGCGCGGCTCGAACTCAGGCCCCGGGCCACAGCGTGGGTCCTGCCTGTCCCCGGGGATCCCGCGTGTCTCTGCGCGGCCACTGGGGCTCGGGTCCGGAGCCTCTCCGCCAAGCCCCCGCCGCCCCATCTCCCCCCAAGTCTGCGGGGCGGGGACCCCGGGGAAGGGGCTGGTGGGGGGCGTCCTGAGTCAGATTTTGAGGTTGCTTTAGTTCCCGAACTTCAGCCGCAGGGGTTCTAGTGGGAAGATGCCTGGCTTCGGGGGTCCCCAGCCTCTCTCCCTCCTCTGTCCCAGCGGCACCAGCCGGGGATGAGCCGCTTAGACCGAGGTCCCTGCACCGACCAGTGTCTAGACCGACAACGAGTGTCCAGATTTCCCTGATGTTTCCTGGCTGGAGCGATAGCACAGCGGGTAGGGCGTGTTTGCCTTGCGAGCGGTCGACCCGGGTTCAATTCCTTCATCCCTGTCTGAGAGATGGCAAGCTACCGAGAGAGCCTGGCAAGCTTCCTGTGGCCTATTCGATAGGCCAAAAACAGTAACAAGTCTCACAATGGAGACGTTCCTGGTGCCCGCCCCAGCAAATGGATGAACAATGGGAGGACAGTGCTGCAGTGCTCCTGCGGTTCCAAAGCCACCTCCACTCCTTCTCAGGGTCACCATATTGTTGTCAGCAGTTCGTCACTGGTGCATTTCATTTCGTGCCAACAAGATTTGTCTTGGTTCTATGATTAAGCAGGAAGCAGAATCAGATCGTGGGATGGGGGATCCCTCCCTGACTGAGCACCGCTGGGTGTGATCCAAATTCACTCTCCTCCATTCATTTAGTCCAATTCTTCTTGTTTGGGGGCCGCACCCAGCGGTGCTCAGGGCTGATTCCTGGCCGTGCTCTGGGATCCTCCTGGCAGGGGCACTTGGGGATCAGATATGTGGTGGCAGGGACTGAACCCTGTTCGGCCGCATGGAAGGCAAGTGCCCTACCCACTGTAAGTGTATTTTTACGTTTTCAACTTTATGTGGAGTTTAAAAACCTGAGCCTCATGGAGGGATGCCGATGGTATCAGTGCTAGGAAGATGGTGGAACTGATTTACCAGGAATGAATGGTGGCAAAGTAACTTTTGGACATGTTTTGGTCATTGTCAACCTCCTCTGAGCTTTCCAGCTAGAACTAAGACAATGGGATCAGAGTGAAAATGTGTCAGACCTGGGGGCTGGAACGATAGTACAGCGGGGAGGGCGTTTTCCTTGCACATGGCTGTCCCGGGTTCAATCCCCAGCATTCCACAGGGTCTCCTGAGTACTGCCAGGAGTAATTCCTGAGTGCAGAGCCAGGAGTAACCCCTAAGCATTGCTGTGACCCAAAAAACAAACACAAAACAAAAATGTGTCAGACCTTTCTGTTGTTGCACAAAATTTACATTTATTAGTATGATGAACGGCAGAGATCAAAAGTGCCGTGAGGGATTGGAGCAATAGAACAGTAGGGAGGGCGCTTGCCTTCACAATCCAGAATTGATCCCCAGCACTCCCCAAGCACTACCAGGTGTGATCCCTAGCACAGAGCCAGGAGTAAGCATTGAACACTGCTGGTAACCAAACAACAAAAATAAAGTTCACGTGTCAGGGGCTGGAGTGATAGCATAAGCGGGAAGGGTGTTTGCCTTGCATGCGGCCGACCCGTGTTTGATTCCCAGCGTCTCATATGGTCCCCTGAGCATCACCAGGAGTAATTCCTGAGTGCAGAGCCAGGAGTAACTTCTATGCATCACCAGGTGTGACCCAAAAAGAAAAAAAGAAAAATTCACGTGTCATTATACAAGACCTTTGTATCACTGATAAACAATGTCCAGTCCTGTCACTCACTCCCCTTCTGTGTATGCATGGGGGTGTTGCAGGGCGCAGTGGTCTATGAGGATGTGGCCGTGAACTTCAGCCTGGAGGAGTGGGCCCTGTTGGATCCTGCGCAGAAGCAGCTGTACCGGGAGGTGATGCGGGAGACCTACAGGAACCTGATCGCCGTAGGTAAGGATGGCCCTGCCCCAACTCCTTGTGCACTGAAGGACAGTGTTTCTCGTTCAGCAATGTGCCTCCTATTAAATTCAGGAATTGGGCCTAGAGCAATAACACAGCAGGCAGGGAGTTTGCCTTGCATGCGGCCGACCTGGGTTCCATTCCCAGCATCCCATATGGTCCCCCAAGCACCGCCAGGGGTAATTTCTGAGTGCATGAGCCAAGAGTAACCCCTGAGCATCACTGGGTCTGACCCAAAAAAGCAAAATAATAATAATAATAATAATAAATAGAATTCAGGAAGGAAGAATATTCATAAATGGGCATGGTCAGAGCTGCCCAGAGGCCTAGTAACTTAATGAGCATTTGGACCTAGAAGCTAATGATTTGTGTGTCATTTCTGATCATTGGATTCATTTTAGGAAAAACTTGGGAAGATCATAGCAAAGAAGATCAGAACCATGAATGGAGTCAAGTAAGGTGAGTCACACAGCAGAAAACAGTGTCTGCTGCGGGAATCTCTTGTGCTGTACATGTAAAGACAAGGCCTTTATATAAATAGTACAGAGGGTTGGGCTTTTGCCCTTTGCATGCGTCCCACCCAGGTTCAATCCCCAGCATCCCATATGGTCTCCTGAGCACTGCAGGAGTAATTCCTGAGCAGAGAGCCAGGAGTAACCCTTGAGCATCACTGGGAGTGGCCCAAAAACCATAGGGGAAGAAAAAGTTTTTAATGGGTTAGAAGACTGATCAGTGTTTAGAACTAACCACAAGTGTGTGGGGCTGAGGGTAGGACAATAATAGCTGGGAATGATCACACTGGACAAGATCTGAGGGTTAAAAGTAGGTAAGGGATATTCTTTATATGTATATAAGGGATATATGACCTTTCAGTATCAATATTGCAAACCATAATGCCCAAAGAGAGGGAACCTGGGGACACTGGTGCTGGGAAATGTGCACTGGTGGAGGGATGGGTGTTGGAATATTTTATGACTGAAATCTAATCATGAACAGCTTTGTAAGGGTTTTTTCTCACAGTGATTCGATAAAAATGTTTTTTTTTTCTTTTTGGGTCACACCCAGCAATGCACAGGAGTTACTCCTCTGCACTCAGGAATTACCCCTGGCGGTGCTCAGGGGACTATATGGGATGCTGGGAATCAAACCCAGGTCGACTGCATGCAAGGCAAATGCCCTACCCACTCTGCTATCACTCCAGCCCCTTAAAAAGTTTTTTTTTTTTTTAAGTTTTTAATAGCTAGAACATGCTAAGCATTTCTTGAAGAAATATTTTTGGTAAGTTGTGCAGTGCAGGGCTAATACAACCTTCAGTGTATGTAAAAACCATATGACTATGAATTGTAAGGTGTGTAAGCTCACACAAAGGGGGCACGGCACACAGCGGTGGCTCTATCTCTCCCGCTGCCCGCGTTTGGTAGTCTCACCCTTCTTCCCCACCCCGGGGAGGTCGATGGTGATGGGCAGGCAAAGGAAGGAACGAGGGCCAGACTGGTTGGTCTTAGTCACAGTTTATTCCAATCCTCTCTCCATCTACACCAGTCTCTCCTCTCTGCCTCTGTCCCCCTCTTCTTCCTCCCCCATGCTACTTCATTCCCCTCCATCCCCCTTCATCCTCCTTCTGTTCCTTCTGATCCCCGAGCCCACTCTCACAGTCTAGTTATATCTCTCTCCATGAGGAATTGGGGGAACCATTACACATAGGAGCGGTCACAATCAATAGGAATAGAAATCTTAGCCTCAGGGAAAGCCGCTCCTAGGACAGATCCTCATTATCAGATCAACCCACCCTAGAGCTGGTTCTCCTGGGTGTGTTTCTTCTCTCCTTGTCTAGCAAACATATAAGCATATATAATATAAATCATTTAAAGCAATATCCATTTTGTATGGATACAGTAAGAAATACCTTAAACTTAAAGAATTGCTCTCCTAGGGCCATCTCGATCTCAGACTACAGTGCTCAGGCCAGATAGTCTTTCCCACCCCTAGCAGGATCCTAGTCTCGTCGTTACCTTTGGATCATGACAGAATTTGTCTATGATCAAACTCTTAACTTATAGTTAAGAATCGTGGCACTTTGGCCTGGCCCATTTCGATGCCAGGGTAGCTCACCACTTGCCCTGGGTCCATTCAGTCCCTCGTCGTGACCCTGCTTTTGGGGTGTTAGGAACTAAGGGCAACTGAGGCTTAAGTTGAGAAAGCAGATGCCCGGGAGTGATAATATTCAAAGCCAATCAAATCCTAAATTACAAAGCATAATGTTAACGGTCTTCCTGTATCTATACAAAAAGGATATTACTTTAAGGTAAACTGTTCATAAGGCATAAGGAGAGGAGAAAGGCAATATTTCACTCATACATATAAAATCATAGATTTCTGGGAAACTGACCTTACAAATTAACAGAGTCTGATTAGGGGGAAAGCTGATTAACTGGGTGGGGAGGAGAGCATAGGGAAGACTGTTTACAGATAAACACAATGGAATGGAAGTGCCTCAGGAGCACTGTGATGGGTGTAACCATATAAACCTAAACTTCTTGTGGAAGGACAAAGCAATGTCACCCTACAGTAAGGAAACCACTCTTGTCTGGTTCTAGAAGTCACTATTTTGGTAAAGCCAAGAGCACCATTTTCTTGCAAGATAGTATATTTTAATTCAGAAAATCAATCAGGGAAGGGAGCCGGGAGTCTTCCTGTAAGTGATGAGTAGTACAGAGTCCTCACTGGGGGCCAGGGAAGTAACTCAACTCTCTGGCGCTAGTCCTTTGTAGCCAGGAGCCTGGCATTGGATTGGCGACACTCCTGGTCTCCTGACTGTCACCAGGAGCAGTCCCTAAGCACCTAAGTCTCCCGAGCCTGCTATCACAAAAAAAAAAAATTATCATAAATGAAGCATGTGATTCTCATTTTTACAGATGTCAGGTGCTCGAGAGACTCCGTGGAGGTAAAGAGGTTAGTCAGAGTGGAGAGAACTTCAGGCAGCTTCCCAGTCTCAGTCTGAACAAGAAAATGACTACCCTGAAACCATGCAAAAGCAGCACGGGTGAGGAGGACTCCAGCCTCCCCGCATCCCTTGCTCAGCATGCCCGGTGCCCCGCTGCGGGTCAGCCAGCTGCATTGGCGAACTCTGGAGAGAAGCCACATCACTGTAAGAGGTGTGGGAGGACCTTCAGATTTCCCATTTCTCTCCGAATCCACGCAAGAACCCACAGTGCAGAGAAACGGTCCCGGTGTCAGCAGTGCGGGAAAGCATCTGCAGGCCACGGAAGGAGCCAGCGTGGAGAGAAGCCCCGTGCTTGTAAAATGTGTCGCCGCACACTGCCCCATGCCTCATTCCCGAGCCATGCACAAACTTCCCCGGTGACGAAGCCATATGAATGCGGGGAGTGTGGGAAGGGTTTCCGCGCCCCCTCCGGCCTTCGAGAGCATGCGATCACCCACACCGGGGACGCAGCTTATAAATGTCTCGAGTGCGGGAAAGCCTACAGGTACCACAGAAGCTTAAGAGCGCACGGGCGGACCCACGCAGGAGAGAAGCCCTACAAGTGTGAAGACTGTGGCAAAGAATTCACTTGCCTCAGATACCTCCGGAAACACACGCGAACTCACACCGGGGAGAGGCCCTACCAGTGCCAGGAGTGCGGGAAAGCCTTAACTTCGTCCTCCAGCCTCCGGACACACATGATCACGCATACCGGTGAAGGACCGCATAAATGCCAGGAGTGCGGGAAAGCTTTCAGGGCCCCCTCGAGCCTGCGCGAGCACGCAATCACGCACATGGCAGACGCCCCCTACACATGCCAGGAGTGCGGGAAAGCCTACCGCTACTACAGCACCTTCCAGACGCACCAGAAAACACACACAGGAGAGAAGCCCTACTCGTGCGGGGAGTGCAGCAAAGCCTTCAGTTGTCTCAAGTACCTCCGGAAGCACGAGAGAACTCACACCGGGGAAAAGCCCTATGCGTGCCAGGAGTGTGGGAAAACCTTCACCACCTCCTCCAGCCTTCGGACACACATGATCACGCACACGGGCGAGGGGCCTTACAAGTGTCAGCAGTGTGGGAAGGCCCTGATTTCTCCCAGCTCGCTGCAGATCCACGAGAGAACGCACACGGGGGAGAAACCTTACGTGTGTAAGTGCGGGAAGGCTTTCCGATCTTACTCGAGTTTCCAAGTCCACGAAAGAAATCACACCGGGGAGAAACCATACGTTTGTAAGACCTGCCCCAAGGCCTTCAGTTGCCTCCATTACCTCCGGCAGCACGAACGAAGCCACACGGGCGAGAAGCCCTATCAGTGCCGAGTGTGTGGGAAAGCCTTCAGTTCCAATTACGTCCAGCTCCACGAAAAGATGCACACAGGGGCCAAGCCCTATGGGTGCAAGGAGTGTGGGAAAACCTACACTTCCGTTTCCAGCCTCCAGAAACATGCCATCACACACTCGGGCGATGCCCCGCACAAATGCAAGGAGTGCGGGAAGGCGTTCATCTCCCTCAGCTTGTTCCGGATCCATGAGAGGACGCACACGGGAGAGAAGCCATACGCATGCAAGCAGTGTGGGAAAGGCTTCAGCACCGGGAGAGGCTTCGAAGCCCATGAGAGGAACCACGCCGGGGAGAAGCCCTACGGATGCCAGACGTGCAGCAAAGCATTCAGTTGTCCCCGTTACCTGCGGCAGCACGAGCGGAGTCACTCCGCAGAGAAGCCATTTCAGTGCAAGATCTGCGGCAAAGCCTTCAGCTCCACGTACATTCGGCTCCACGAACGGACACACACAGGCGAGAAGCCCTACGCGTGTCAGACGTGCGGGAAAATCTACACTTCTTTCTCGAGCCTGCAGAAGCACACAGTCACGCACACGGGGGACGGGCCATACAAGTGCAAGGTCTGCGGGAAGCCATTCATCTTCCCCAGCTCGCTGCAGAAGCACCAGCGGACACACACAGGTGAGAAGCCTTACAAGTGTCAGCAGTGTGGGAAAGCCTTCAGCTCGGCCCTAAGTTTTGAAGTCCACGAAAGGAATCACACGGGAGAGAAGCCATATACATGCAAGACGTGTCCGAAAGCCTTCACCAGCCCCGTGTACCTGAGAAAACATGAAAGAACACACAGTGGGGGCCTGGAGAAGCCAGCACCTGCTTCCCGTGCCTCCAAAGACGCCCAGGTCACTGTCGCAGAACCCACTGAGGAAGGCAGGGAGCCTTCTGCCACCGCTGCTGTCTCTGAAGGGACCAAGGATGCACTGGATAAGACCTCTTGCTTACAAAAAGAGAAAGGACAAAAAACAAAACAAAAAAAGATGTGATTGCAAACAGCCTGGAAAAGGCAGAGAAAGGTCTACTGTTTCACATCTGCGAACTGCAGTGATTCAGGAAGATGTTCGGGGGACTCGCCCACCTGAATTCAAGGACAAGTTCCAGTATGAAAGAGTGTTAGTGGGGGGCTGGAGCGATAGTATGGCGGGTGGGGCATTTGCCTTGCACATGGCCGACCCGGGTTCGATCCCCCTGCATTCCATATGGTCCCCCAGCACCGCCAGGAGCGATCCCTGAGTGCAGAGCCAGGAGTAACCCCTGAGCATCACTTGGTATGACCCAAAAAGCAAAAATAAATAAAATCCACCAAGCTTTAAAAAAAAAAAGTGTTAGTGGGCTGGAGCAATAGTACAGCAGGGAGGGCTGCCTTGCTTGCAGCCAGCCTGGGTTCTATCCCCAGCATCCCATATGGTCCCTCGAGCAACACCAGGAGTAATTCCTGTGTGCAAAGCCAGGTGTGACCCAAAAAAGCCAAAAAAAAAAAGTGTTAGAAAACCAGCTAGGCTGGCTTTCATAGGCTTCTTGGATATCTTAATTTCTTTGCTGCTCAGAGCTTCGTCCTGACTTTGCGCTCAGGAATGATGCTTGCTGGGCCCAGAAGCCCACGTGGGGCACTGGGAATCGTGCAGGGCAAGTGCCCTCCCCGCTGCATTAGCGCTCCTGCCCCAGTGCTTCTTGCGTTTCTTCATGGTTGGACTCTTGTGGACTTCTTCCAGAAACACCGAGGTGTTAAATTCCGCAGGCCAGCTTTGAGCGATGTTCCGGAAAGGTGCCAGAGACTTCCATCAGCGAACAATATTTCCTTTCCATTCTGAAGCCTGTTGGACATGGTTGAATTCAAGTGTGTGCCTAAATGCAATTAGGATTCATGTATTCATACATATTGTCTTGGGGTTACACCGGGCTGTGCTCAGGGCTTATTCCTGGCTCTGCACTAAGGGATCATGCTTGGTGGACTCCAGGGAACAGACCATATGGGGTACCAGGGGTCAAACCCGGGTCAGATCTGTGCCCTGTTGGCTGTACTATCTCCTCAAGTCCTCCCAAGTACACTTAACAAAGCATATACATTCACCTAAGCTGTTTTCACGTTTGGCCCTTTGCTTGTCATTCTACTGGTTATTTAGTGAATAGACTTTGAATTTAAAGGAAATCCTATGATAGATTAAGAAAATGCATGTTCACCCGAGCAATAGTCCAGCAGGTGGATGTTTGCTTTGCATGCAGCCGATCTGGGTTTGAACCTCGGCTTCCCATATAGTCCTCCAAGTGCCGCCAGGAGTAATTTCTGAGTGCAGAGCCAGGAGTAACACCTGAGCATTGCTGGGTGTGACCCCCAAAAAAGCAGAAAAAAAAAAGAAAAAGAAAGAAAATGCACGCTGGAAGGGAGACAGTCTCATTCTGATGCCACTATCCCAGGGAAGACAGATTCACACACAGTGGAGGCTGGGAGAAGCCAGCACCCCCTCCCTGCACTTCAGGGAATCTGTTCCAGCACATTTACCAGGTTCTTTGCTCTTCCAGTAAAAAGCATCACCAAACTACCAACTGAATGATAGTTGTTTGTTTGTTGGGGGGGGCACACCCAGCAGTGCCCAGAGCTTAGTCCTGGCGCGGTGCTGTGGAGTCACCCCTGGTGGGCTCCGTTATCCCTCCTGGATGCTGTGGGTGGAACCCGTGGGCCATGTACGAGGCAGGCACCCTCCCTTCTGTACTATCTCTGCAGTCCTAGGGCTGTTAGTATTTGGGGGAGGTTCACACAGTGGTGCTACTGGGGTGAGGGTATTCCTGAGAAATCTCTCCATCTGTTGTCTGCAGTGCTTAAACACCTTTGAATCCTTTATGCTTCAAATCTCTAAGGACACAGAACAAAATCATCAGCATCATAACAGATCTTCAGTACATTTCCTTGGGGTGGGGGGGTCTGATGGTGCAAGGATGCAGCTTGTGTCTCGTGCTCAGGTTAGACCAGTAGCATTGGGCAGATGGCACTTGGATCAGAGGGGTGTGTGTGTGTGTGTGTGTGCGCGAGCGCGCGTATGTCTGTCTGTCTGTGTGGGTGTGTTGGGAGTGACTTAAATTGATCTGGTGCTTTGCCCTAGAATGATCCCTGAGGTTCCATCACTATCACCAAAATAGAAGAGCCAGACTGTGCGTAAACTGGTGAGGACACAGACGGAAAGGACAATTCACTCAGTCCGCCCCCAAACCTGGCCGTTTAAAAGGACTTAAATCCCCTGACCGCAATCAGGCCTGGCCCCAGCTGCTACCCTAGGTTAGTGCTTGCACCTCTGCAAACAGAATCGGGAATCCGCTGATCTCACCTGGGTCGCATCTCTCCAAACCGGCAATCGTGCAAAACAACCCCAGACAAGGAAAAAAGCGAAAAGTTCTGTTTAAACGCAAAGAAACTTTCTCCACTAACCTCACGCCTGCGGGCACTGGGGTTTAGGCTCTACCCCGAGCCCGCCCACTTCACCTGTCGCTCCTGCTGAAAGGGGCGTGGCCCTGGGCACGGTCCAATCAGTGGCGCCGTAGGGCGGGTTGGCGTGTCACCACCGACCCCAGGCCTGAACAGCAGTCCTGGCCCGGCGCGCTGTGGGTATGCGACTGGCCGGCCGCGCACCGTCCCTGCGGGCTTGGCTGCAGCCTCAGTTGCGCTGTGCATCCCCGCCCCCCCACCCACCTCGAGTCCTGGAGCCGAAGGGAAAATCCCTCCAGAGGTCTCCGACATGGCAGGGGGCGTGTTTTGGGGACTCCGATCTCCCCGCTGTTCCCTACCGCAGGCTGCGGACCCCAGGTCACTGGGGAGCCCGGGCACCTCCGTCTCCCGGGTTCAAACGCGGGGCCGCTGTGATCTGAGGGATCCCCAGTCCCTACTGTCACCCCCGGGGGACCCGTTTCTGTTTTTTGAAAGTTTCGGGGGCAGAGGAGCAATCCCCACCCCGGTGTCCCCCCGCCCCCCAGTTTCCCTGGGGGCATCTGTTAAGTCCAGAATCGTCCCCGCGTGCGTCCCCCAAGACCCCCTTCTTCAGAACCCCCAGCATTCTCGGAGTTCTCATAAGATCTATTCCAGCCCTGCCACGCCATGGTCTCTCTCATTTTGTCTCACTCCGTGGGTTTATTTGTAAATACTTACTATTATTATTGATTGGAGGGGGGGTGTTGGGGCCACACACCCGGCGAGTGCTCAAGGATCACTCCTGGTGGACTCGGGGGACCTGAAGACGCAGGAACTGTATCCTCTCAGGTGAGAAACCCTCTCCCCGCAGGCCTGCAGTGAGGGCAGGCCTTCAGCTGCCCCCACCACCTGCGGGGTCGGGACAGGAACCCCTGAGCATCAGTGAGTGTGACATCAAAAACCCAAACCAGGCCATCTTACAGTACACAGCAACAAAGAAGAAAAGCGGCTGGAGGGCCCCCAGCTCCCGGAGAATGCTCCAGGTCCCAAACAGAGCCGATAACACCAGGAGGTCCCAGATGGGGTAGGTGCTGCCGTCCCACCTTCTCCAGATGGAACCCCGGTGACCATGAGCTCCTACAAACATAGCTCTGGCAAATGGGTACCAGGACATTTTTTCCAAACCACGCGGCCATTATGCAGCCGCGCGACATCTCCTCATATACAAAGTGATCAATGGAAAGTAAATCATCCAATATTTCTCCCTGAAAATCAGGCTTAACTCTTTTGCAAACCACAACATCCAAAAGGAGAGAGAACAAAGGGAAATGCCCTGCCACAGAGGCAGGGTGGGATGGGGGGGATGGGGAGTGGGAGGGATACTGGGATCCGTGGTAGTGGGAAATGGGCACTGGTGGAGGGATGGGTATTTGAAAAATTAAATAAATAAATTTAAGAGAGAGAGAGAGAGAGGTGTCTGCCATAGAGGCAGGCTTCAGGGGAGAGGTGGGAGGGAGGGGATACTGGGGACATTGGTGGTGGAAAATGTACACTGGTGAAGGATGAGGGTGATGGAACTTTGTATGACCAAAACTCAATCACGAACAACTTTGCAACTATGTATATCAGGGTGATTCAATTTTTAAAAAACGATTAAAAAAATTGAATGTTAAAAAAAAAAACCGAAACCAAACAAAAAGAAAACCATAAGGGCAAATGCAGACTGAGTGCAAGCTTTGTATGCAGGATGCCCTGGCTTGATCATGGCTCTATGTGGCCCCCTGAGCACTGCCAGTGCTGGGAGTAGCCCGTGGTGCCCAAACGCTGGTGGAGAATGGAGACAGAACCAGCGGATCAGAATGAGCCCCAGTGGCCAGCGCGATCTGCCTCTCAGGGGGCGGGGCTAGAAACCACCCAATCAGGGCCGCCGAGGGGTGGAGTGGGCGGGCCGCGTCCTTGAGCGCTAAGTTTGGATAAGGCGGGCCGCGTGGCTTCTGAGATGCTACCCCGGATACCCTAGGAGACACGGGGGACCCCAAAGCCATGCAATGGTGAGTTTACAAGGCCAGGAGCCCTACCTGGGCTGGCCCTTGCTTCCCGGCTCCCTCGGATGTAGCCACGGGCAGCTGCGGACCCGAGGCCAACAGGTGCCGTCAGTCCCCAGGACCAGGGATGGATGTGTGGGGTCCCCATCCCTGCATTCTCCCAGGGGACCATTCTTCGAGATGTTTAGGAAGCGGGGCGTCAGATACACCGTATTCACAGCACCCCCAAAGTGATCTATGCCTTTCATCTCCCCAAATCCAGTCTCCTGCCAACTCATAGCTTTGTTGTTGTTTGGTGGGGAAGGGTCCCGGGGCCACCCACAGGGATATGAGGCTGAGTAATATCAGATCCTCCAGTACTCGCAAGTCACCAGGACTGCACCCCAGTGGCGCTGCGTATCCAATCAATCCAGTTGGACCGCGTGCAAGGGGTGCCCCTGTTCAAATGTCCCTGTGCCCTCCCACACCGTGTGTTCGCCACTGGCAATGCAGGGCGCTTTTCATTTGATTCTTTTTCTGATTTGAGGGCCACACCCAAGCAGTGCTCGTGGCTTACTCCTGGCTCTGTACTCAGGGAGTCATTCCCTGCAGTATTTAGTGGAGACCCTGTGTCACTGGGGGTCGAACCAGGGTTGTCCATGCGCAAGGAAAGCACTATCCGACCTTGGGTTTGTGTATTTTTTTTTGTTTTTTATTTATTTATTTTTTGCTTTTTTGGGTCACACCCAGCGATACACAGGGGTTACTCCTGGCTCTGCACTCAGGTGTTACTCCTGGCGGTGCTCAGGGGACCATATGGGATGCTGGGAATCAAACCTGGGTCGGCCACGTGCAAGGCAAACGCCCTACCCGCTGTGCTATCTCTCCAGCCCCTATTTTATTTTTTATTATTTCGGTTTGGGGGTTTGTATATTTTATTCGATTTGGGGGGTTGTATATATTTTATCCAAGGGGGGTTTGGGGAGGTTGTAAGGGCGTCAGGGAACACAGAGGCGGAAGCACAGGCTTAGCGTGCCGGGAGCAGAACAGATCCCCAATGCCACCTGCTCTCCCAAACAGCACTGCCAGGTGTGGCACCCCAAAACCAAAAAATAAGGCACAGAGCCCCTTACATGGGGAGCAGAGGCCTGAACACTGTTTCCAGGCTCAGGGCCCACACAGTCTGCAAAGGGAAGTTTCCAGAGGCTGAGTGAATGAATCCTGGGGTGCCCCCCACCCGTGGGTGTTTGAACTGAGGCCCTCCCCAGGGAAGGAGCTTCTGAACTAAGATTCTGTAAAGCCCCTGGCAAGTGGGGGAGCAGAGCGGTGGGAGCCCAGAAAGGGGCACTTTTTGAGGTGGTGCTGGGTTCCCCCACCTTTCCACATGGGTTTGGGGCTCAGGGGTGGGGGTTTGGCTCTTGAAGTAGGATTCAGTACACTTGGAAAAAGTGGGGGCAGTCCTGGAGTTCTGGATGGGGGCTCGGGCTAGGAACCCACAGGTTTGTTTGGGTCAAAACCTTCAAGGATATGAGGCTGGGTGCTCTGTCACTGACCAGTGGGAATCCTGGGGAGCAGAGCCTTTTATTGGGGGGTTGAGGTGCTCAGGGATCACCCCTGGCAGTACTCAGGGGATGCCTTGGATCTAACTCTGGTCAGCCATGTGCAGTGCAAATGCGTCCCCACTGCACCAGCTCTGTGGGCTGGGAGTGATGCTTTTCATCATTTCTCTCAGTCCAGGCATCGGGCCCGCTCCCTGGGTTCATTCCTCTAGCCCCTCAGGTGACCCACCCCCTTTCTTCAGGCACTGACCCCCTCAGGAATTCTGTTGGACAGGATGTGGGATGCAGGCTCCTGGGCTGAGCCCTGGTGATTAATCCCCTCTGTTATCCCTTAGCTCGCTTCCTGTCTGTGTCTTTTCCAGGACTTGGAAAGGGAAGTTGATGACAAGTCTCTTGGGAATACAAGGAAAGTCTGGGACAGTGAGAAGGTTTGTTCATTCTACGTATCTTTTATTTCTCTTTGAGGGGGTTGAGGCCACATCCGGTGGCGCTCAGGGCTTGCTCTTGGCTCTGCTCAGGGCTCACTCCTGGCCTCTCCTCTTGGGGATCACTACTGGGGGGGGCTCCAGGGGCCCTCTGCAGTGCCAGGGATAGAACTTGTTTCAGCTAGGGTATACCCCGCAGCACTGACTGGTGTGGAATTGCCAGGATGAGGCGGGAAGGCAGAAGGTGGGGACCCTGGGCAAAGAAATGGGGGAAGGGCAATGGTTTTGCTGGGGTACCCCAGAGACAGAGGGCGCTGTGTCTCTGATAGGCTTGGGGGAGAAGGACCAAGCCCCAGGCAGGAGATGGGCTCCCCCAAACAGCTGCCACTTAACAAGAACAGAGGGGAGATAGTCTCCTGTCCTGGGGGCCCCCAGTACTTCTACTGTCCCCCACCCCCTCGAGTTCTGGGATCAACCTCACCCTGTGAAACCACCATCCCTCATGTGTAAGCCTCCTAACCCTGATTTGAGGGCTCTGGAAAGGAAATGATATATCCCAGGATTTACAAGCCTCCAGCGGGGACCCCCTCCCCGAATTCCATGTACTTGAGAGGCCTAAAATGCAGCTCAGAGGGGACCCAGGGGACCAGGACAAGGCAGTGAAACCAGTAAGATTCCCCAGCTGACCCCAAGTAAGGCTAAGAGCCTGCGTACCCCCACAAGAATGAGGATGGGCAGAGCCGGAGTGATAGTACAGAGAGGAGGGCGTTTGCCTTGCACACGGCCAACCCAGGTTTGATCCTTGGCATCCCATATGGTCCCCCAAGCACTGCCAGGAGTAATTCCTGAGTGCAGAATCAGGAGTAACCCCTGAGCACCGCTAGGTGTGGCCCAAAAAGAAAATAAAATGGGGGGGGCACTGGATCGATAGCACAGCAGGCAGGGCCTTGCATATGGCCAACCTGGGTTCAATTCCCAGCATCCCATATGGTCCCCCGAGCACCGCCAGGAGTAATTCCTGAGTGCAGAACTGGGAGTAACCCTTTGTACATCGTTGGGTATGACCCAAAAAGCAAATAAATAAATAAATAAATAAATAAATAAATAAATGAGAAAAGGAAAAAAGAATGAGGACAGGGTGTTGGGTCTCATGCTGACACTGGTTGACCTGCCCCTTGGGGACTTGCACTTTTGCCCGGGATCCCACCGCAGAGAACCGTGGAACCCTAGTGATCTGGGGTAGAACTGAGATCTCCACAATGAGATATAGTGTTGTGGGGAGCGTATATGCTTTGCATGTGGCCCACCCGGGTTCAATCCCTTGCAACTCATAAGGTCCCCTGAGCACTGCCAGGAGTGATCCCTGAGTGCAGAGCCAGGAGGAAGCCCTGAACATTGTAGGGTGTGGCCCAGAAAACAAAACAACAACAAAAAACAGAAAAAAAAATCCCTGGCATCCTTTTTAAATAGACACACCCCTTGGGTACCAGGTTTTGCTGCCAATGTCACTGATGGAAATGCAGATTGTCATCTTACTGGACAGATTAAATATCGTTATCCTCTTTGCAAACTGCATCCTTGAGATTTTTACCCCTCAATCTCTGCAGAAAAGAATGTGCAAACTGGTTTGTAGAAAGATCCATTCTCCAGCGTCCTGGGGTGCCCGGATGCTGCGTCCACAGACGGACAGGGCCTCAGAATGGGCCTGGCTTGCCTGTCCCGCCGTGTGACACCTCCTGACTTGGTCCCTCGCTAGCCTTCCCCACGTGTCCTGTCCCCAGGCGGATCTCCACTGAGGAGCATTGGTGGAATTTACCGGAAAGCTCCTCAGGGTTCTTGGTCCGTTGGATTGTCTGGAGCAGAAACCCTTGTGGACCCGGGTTCGGGCAGGGTCTAGTTCTCCCAAGGGAAGAAAAGGTGGAGGTGGGGAAGGGATGCGCATGCCCCAATGACCAGAGCTGGGCATGCGGACCCCCAGAATGACAGATGGTGGTCACTTTTGCATTTCAGCCTCTGGGGAGAAGCGTCCTGGGCTACTGCCTCGATGCCGCGCACTGTCCCTGCAAAGGCCGCCCAGCCTGGACACAGGTCGGCCCAAAGGCGAGACCCTCTGGCCCGTCACTCAGTCCCGCAGTGGGTGTGGCCAGGAGAACCGTCCGATCGGAGGCGTGGCCAAAAGCTTGCGTGGAGGCGTGGCTTTGTAGTTGCTATAAGGTGGCATGGGCAGGACGCCGGCTTTCCTGCATGCAGCCTCACTTGCTGCGCGCCCCTCGCTGCACTCCTGCACCCGCGGCCTTCCAAAGGCCCAAGATTCCCACGCCCGGATTACCACCAGGCTGCTGCTTGCGGCAGAGCTCGGAGCATCTACTATCGCGCCTCCCGGGATGGTGAGAGTGCAAAGGGAGGGTGACAGGCACAGCAGGGTACCAGGCTTCCCGAGGGCGTTGGGCATCAGTGGGGCCACAGGGGCGACTCCAGGGTCTATCCGCTCCTGCACGGCTACTGGGACCCCAGCCCCAGTCCTCTGTCCACTGTGCGTCTTCCATCCTGTGTCTGTCCCGGTGGTGTGGGGGGCTTCGGGGAGCAAGCTGGGGGGCGGACCACGATGACTGGTCCCTCCTTTCTTCAAGGAACCCAATTTTCAGCAGTTTTCCGAAATCTTTGGGAGCAGGGTTGCGATTCACACACCCAGGTTCTTCCACCATGCTTCCCCCAGGAGTGGCCGTGCGCCCCTGCTGCACATCCAGGCACGCAGGCCCGAAGCTCCAGAACCTCCCCGAAGCTCCAGAACTTTCCCGCATTCCCCAGCACCATCTTGCCCTCGCCAGTTCCTCCCAGCGACCTTAACCATTTGTCCCCCGCGTGCATTGCCGCTGCAGGATCGGGATCGCAATCCCGGCTCCCGTCGGCGCCGGCGCCGCCGCATCCGCAGAGTTCTGGGGACATTCCCGGGGGTTCTTTTCTGGCCCTGGAAGCAGCCCTTGCAGTGCACGTGAACCCGCCTGGGATGGTTCCCCCGCACTGCCCAGGGAGGGACCTTCAAGCCCGGAGTATGACGAACACCCCTGCATGTGACCCAAGTTCCGCTCCCCACACCCTACCCTTGCCCTAATGTTCATTGCTGTGTATGGATGTTTGACTAGAGCAAAAAAGAAGCGAATAAGCACCTCCCCAGAGTCAGGTTCCGGAGGCCTGGCCCCGAGCCCGAGACCACCCCTGGGCATACATGTCCTATGATCCAGGCAGAGGTAGTTCTTTCAAACTTTCCTGGGTGATTTGTCTTCAGCAAACCTCCTCAGGATTGATGGTTTAGTAATTTTGTCCCCAATTTTTTCCAGAGAACTTTTTTGTTTTACCTTTTTTGGTTTATCTTTGGCCTTTTGGGTCACTCCTGGCGATGTTCAGGAGTTACTCCTGTCTCTGCACTCGGGAATTACTCCAGGTGGTGCTCGGGGGACCTTATGGGACACCAGGGATCAAACCTGGGTGGATCATGTACAAGGCAAACACCCTCCCTGCTGTAGTATCGGTCGGGCCCCTTTTTTTTCAGAAATTTTTAATTAATGGTTAGGCAACTCAGTAGGAGAGCACTCGCGTTGTGCCTGTGAGGCCGTGGATTGAGTTTTTCCTCACAAAAGAGTAACAACAACAAAAAATAAATATATATTATACTTTTCTTGGATCGATCTGGGATCAACCCAAGCCACCTCTATGTAGACAGCATCTGAACCACCATATTATCTCTCCAGACCAATTAGTATATCTTTTTTTGAGGGAAGGGGGTTGGGTCACACCCAGTGATGCTCAGATCTTATTTCTGGTTCTGTACTCAGGAATCACTCCTGGGGACCTGGCAGAGGGGGGGTCCTATGATTGCCAGGAACTGATCCGGGTTGGCTGTGTGCAAGGCCAGCACCCTGCCTGCCGTTCTCTCTCCAGCACTATCTGAGGATTTATTTTGGTAGGTGGATATGGTATCACGGGGGCGGATGGGGTGTGTGTTGTACTCCCTGCTCGGCTTCCCTGGTTTGCTCCCAGGGAACCTCAGGCTTGCAATATTGGGGATGAGCCTAAACCCCTGGGCTGCCACGTCTGCCCTCTCCCTTTGACCTCTCCCTGGTCCCTGGTGATTTCAGATGGAATACAGGGCTTGGATTTCCCACATGGAGACATGAGTTCACTTAGCACTGTCTGCCAATTGTTTGCCCTAAGAGCGCAATAACTGCTATTATTTTCTGGAAAGGAATAATATTTGTGCGTTTTTCTTAACTATACTCAAGCCTGTGCTAGGGACCCCCATGGTCAAGCAGTTGGGCCCCCTTTGAACTGGGTTCCAGGCTTACTTACACCCCCTGGTGGTGCATCGCAGCTCTGCATGTACCCGCACCCCCACCCACCACCATCACCATTTTTTAAAAAATTGTGTTTGGAGCGAAAGCATAGCGGGTAGGGCGTTTGCCTTGCACGCGGCCGACCCGGGTTCGATTCCTCCGCCCCTCTTGGAGAGCCCAGCAAGCTACCGAGAGTATCTCGCCTACGCTCTCCCTGTGGCATATTCAGTATGCCGAAAACAGTAGCAACAAGTCTCACAATGGAGGCGTTACTGGTGCCCACTTGAGCAAATTGACGAACAACAGGAGGACAGTGCTACAGTGCTACTGTGTTCAGGGAGCACTCCTGGCAGGTCTCAGATCTCGGGGGACCCTATGGAGTATCGAACCTGGGTTGACCACGTAAAAAAGCCAGCACCTTCCCAACTCTATCATCTCTCCTTCCCTTTGTGCTTTGAATTTTTTTCTTTTTAATTTTTTTGAGGGTCACACCCAGCAACACTCAGGGGTTACTCCTGTTCTGCACTCAGGAATTACCCCTGGCGGTGCTCAGGGAACCATATGGGATGCTGGGAATCAAACCCGGGTCGGCCGCGTGCAAGGCAAACACCCTACCCGCTGTGCTATCACTCCAGCCCCATGTGCTTTGAATTTTTTTTTAACAGTCTGGGTGTGGGCGCCATGGGGTACTGGGGCTGAAACTTTAGCCTCCCACTCACATGCTAGACTCTTGCTCTGGACAATTAAGCCACATCCTTCCCTGCAGCCATTAGTCTTCAAAAATTATCCCAGAGGCCAGAGCAATAGAACAGCAGGTAGGGCGCTTGCACGCGGAGGCTAACCCAGGTCCAATCCCACATAGTCCCCTGAGCACAGCCGAGCCTGGCCCAAAAACAAAAACACAAACCAAGAAAACAATTGGTTTGGTTCTAATCATGGTTTCTTCTGCAGAAACGTAACCATTAAATCCCGTCACTGCCACAGGAATTTACATTTTCTGACTATGGAAGAGAAAATACAGCCTTGGAATTAGTTGAATTATTTTCAGTGATGCTTATGAAGAAGTCGGTGAGACAGTTGAGCACAGGCTTTGCATGTGGGAGCCCCGGATTTGCACCTCCAGGGTGGGAGTGTAGGCAGGATGAATGGGACTCTGGACAAAGCATTGCGTTTTGCGAGCGTTTCCCTGTATGTTCGAGGGGGGACTCTGCCAGAGGTTGGGTGTCCCGAGTTGCGGGGGGGGGGGGGATGGGGAGAGAGAGGCTGGACCCGCATTGGGGGCTTCCCACAAACAGTTGTCACTCAAGAGGAGCAGAGCGAGACGGGGGCAGCCACGTCCACTTTCCTCTGCAAGAGCTCCTCAGGCTAACCCCACTCCTGCTACAGAGACCCTCATCCTCGTGGCTTTGGGGTCAGCACCCCGGTTTTGCTATGGTGCAGCCACTTACCGGAGCCGCTTAAATTGCCTGAGTAGCAAAATCTGCCTAGAAACAGAGGCTGGTTCCAGGGAGCGGGGCGGCAGCGCGTTGCTTGGAGACACTGTGAGCGTGCCTGGTCCTGGCGCGCCCTCTGCCGGTGGCTCTGGGATTCCTGTCTGTGTCCCACCTTCCCCAGGGAGCCGGGGATCACGCCCTTCTCAATCTCCCCAACATCCCTTGTCCCCCCTCTTTATGTTTTTTTTTTGGCTTTTTGGGGTCACACCTGGCGATTCACAGGGGTTGCTCCTGTCTCTGCCCTCAGGAATCACTCCTGGAGGTGGCTCAGAGGGCCCTATGGGATGCTGGGAATTGAACCCGGGTCGGCCGCGTGCAAGGCAAACACCCTACCCGCTGTGCTATCACTCCAGCCCCTGTCCCCCCTCTTTAAAGATCCCACGAGAGCAGGAAGGACCGAATCTCAGCGAGTTACAAGCTCACTTTTGCACTTGGAAATCATTAACAAAGCTGGACCTCCTCCTTCTGACTTTTTTATTTTTGGTCACACCTGGTGGTGCTCAGGAATCACTCCTAGCAGTGCTTAGGGTACCCTAAGGGCGCTGGGGATTGAACCCTGGTCGAGTGAAAGGCAAGCTCCCTAGCTGCAGTGCTATCTCTCTGCCCAGAGAGGGACTTAACACGGTCCCATTAAAGAGCATTTTTACTAATTCAGCTGCATCTGACTACTTCTCATGGCTCAGAAACTTCTGGTCTAGGGTTGGAGTGATAATATAGTGGGTAGGGCGTGTGCCTTTTATGTGGCAACCTGGGTTTGATCCCTGGCACCCCATAGGATCCTCTGAGCATTGCCTGGAGTGATCCCTGAGCACAGAGCCAGGAGTAAGCCCTGAGCATCACTTTGGGTGGGGAATAAAAATAGACAAACAAAAAGCCAAGAAGCTGGAGATGAACTCATTTCCCTGGTTCTCCTGAACTCAGATCCTGGAGAACAGTAACTTTTGTTATATTACATTTTATTTTATTTTTGGCTTTTGGGTCACACCTGGCAATGCTCAGGGGTGACTCCTGACTCTTCACTCAGGAATTACTACTGGCATTGCTCAGAGTACCATATGGGATATTGGGGATCGAACCTGGGTCAACTGTGCAAAGCAAATGCCCTCCCCGCTATACTATCGCTCCAGCTCCAGAATCTTTGACTTGTCCCACCTTATGGGACGGTGATGCTTGTTTTACTTATGTGAATATTCCTAGCAGTGGTCTGAAGAGATAATACAATGGGTAGAGCACTTGCCTTGCATATAGCTAACCTGGTTTCAATCCCTGGCATCCCATATGGTCCACCAAGCACCACCAGGAGTAATTCCTGATTGTAGAGCCATTTGGTGGACTCGGGTGCCCGCTGTGCTCTTGGACTGACAAGGATGGCACGGTTGGGATCTGGGTAACGAGGTCCGAGAAGTGATGTTTTGCCGTCACAGTTGTAAGTGAACCTGCATGTGGCTGTGCTCCATGGATCGTTCGTGTGGCTGGTCCGTGTTGTAGGATTTGGTGGCCTGTGAGGACGTGGCCGTTTACTTCAGCCTGGAGGAGTGCGTCCTGCTGGACCCTGCAGAGAAGCAGCTGTACCAGGAGGTGATGTAGGAGACCTACAGGAACCTGGCGTCAATAGGTGAGGATGGCCCTGCTGCCAGCACCTTGTCCCAATAGAACACATGTCCCTGGCCCAGGAACATAGTCCCATTACATGTTTAGATTAGATACTCAGAAAACCTTGGGGGGTGGGGAGGGTGGACCACACCAGGCAGTGCTCAGGTCTTATTCTTGGCTCTGCAATCAGGAATTACTCCTGGTGGTGCTTGGTGGACCATATGGGATGCCAGGGATTGAAACCAGGTTAGCTATATGCAAGGCAAGTGCTCTACCCATTGTATGATCTCTTCAGCCCACTGCTAGGAATATTCACATAAGTAAAACAAGCATCACCGTCCCATAAGGTGGCAACCCAGTATGACTGACTGCTCTTCTCTGGGTCTGCATTCTACAGAGGAAGAAGGAAGACCCTGACATGGGGTGGTGAGTCCAGAGCCTGGGGGAGAAATCTAGCATGAGTCAAGCTCAGCAGGACAGCAGGGCCCACAGAGGCTTCCCTGCAATGAACACTTTATTGATTTGGGCCACATCTGGTGGCTCTCAGGGATCATTTCCTGGAGGGGCTCAGGAGATCCTCTGGGGTGCCGGGAATTGAACCCAGGTCTGCTGCATGTAAGGTAAATACCTTAACCACTGTACTCTAAACCCTGGACAGTTTTTTTTTGTTTGTTTTTGGGTCACACCTGGCGATGCACAGGGGTTACTCCTGGCTCTGCACTCAGGAATTACTCCTGGTGGTGCTCAGGGGACAATATGGGATGCTGGGAATCGAACCTGGGTCGGCCTAAACACCCTACCCGCTGTACTATAGCTCCAGCCCCCTGAACACTTTATTTTTAAATTTATTCTTGAGCGGTCCCAGTAACGTCTCCATTTTGAGACTTGTTATTACTGTGTTTGGCATATCGAATACGTCACGGGTAGCTTGCCAGGCTTTGCCGTGCAGGCGAGATACTCTCGGTAGCGTGCCGGGCTCTCCGAGAGGGGCGGAGGAATCGAACTCGGGTTGGCCATGTTGGCCGCTTGTAAGGCGAACGCCCTACCCGCTGTGCTATTGTTCCAGCCCCAAATTTATTCTTACAGTGTTTTTTTTTTGGGGGGGGTGGAGGGCGGTGTCACACTCAGTGGTGCTCAGGGCTTACGCCTGTCTCTATGCTCAGAGATCACTCCTAAAGGAGCTTTGGGGTGGGGGTGGGGAACCGAGCCCTGGTCGGCCACATGCAAGGCCCGTGCCTTTGCCACTATCCTGTCTCTGCCTCCTCTCCTTTTTATTGTGTTTTGACACCACACCGCCAGTGCTCATGCCTGATACCGGTCTAGTTCTGCGCTCAGGGATCACTCCTTCTGGGGATCGAACCTGGGTGGCCTGTGTAGACAAAGCAAGCGCTTCGCTGCTGTCCTAGGGCCCCGGCGCCATCCTGTGCCCCATCGTTTCCCGCAGGGGTCCCACGGTGGCGGCAGGGCACACGGGGAAGCAACGCAGTCCTGACGGAGACCTCTGCAGTGGTGAGAAAGCAGCAGCGCAGGCCAAACCCCGGGGCTGCAGCCTGGGCGCCAAAGCCTTCGCCACGCATTCGTCCCGGAACCCGTACCTGCGCTCCTGCAGCGGCGCCCCGATGGCCGCGCCCGGGAGGGTGGGGCGGTGACCCACCCGGCTGCCGGCAGAAGCTCTACACGTGCCAGGCGTGCCGCAAAGTCTTCAGCTGCCTGCGGCCCTTCCGGAAGCACAAGCAGAGACACTGCGCCGAAGACCGAAGACCTACGCGTGTCCGCACTGCGGCCAGGCCTGCTCCCTGCAGTCAGTGTGCAAGCACGCGTGCACGCACACGCGCGAGCGGCCCTACCCGTGCCCACGCTGTGGCAAGGCCCTGTGCTGCACCAGCTCGTTCTGCAGCCACACATGCACGCACACGGGCGAGTGGCCCTACCAGTGCCCGGGCTGCGGCCAGGCCTTCCCGTCGCGGGGCAGCTGCCAGCACCACCTCATCACGCACACCGGCGACTGGCCCTATAAGTGCCAGGCGTGCGGCAAGGCCTGCAACCGCCCCGGCTCCTACCGCGTCCACGAACGCCCGCACAGGCTGAGAAGCCGATCACCTGCCCCGTCCGCAGTGAGGCCTTCAGCTGGGCCAGCTCCTCCGGCCCCGCACTCGGCTGAGAAGCGCCGCCACCGCGCCCGTGGCAGTCAGGCATTCCACCCGCTCCCCACCTTCCGGGTGCTTGCGTGTAGGCACACGGCCGAAAAGCCCCAGAGCTGCCGGCAGCGTGACGAGATCCTCGCTTCACTCACCAGCTTCCACCGCCAGACGACAGGTGACGGGCCATGCAAGTGCCTCGACTGTGGCCAGGCCTTCAGCTGTGCCAGCTCCTACCGCGTGCACACATGCAAGCACATGGGCGAGAAGCTGTTCGCCAGCGCTGTCTGTGGCCAAGCCTGCAGCTGCGCCAGCTACGTGCAGGTGCACGCGGGCTCGCACAAGGGCGAGAAGCTCTTCACCCGTCCCATCTGCGGCCAGGCCTGCGGCTGCGCTAGCTACATGCAAGTACACATGTGCACACACACGGGCGAGAAGCCCTATGCGTGGCCCAGGTGTGACCAGGCCTCCGTCTCCTGCACCACCTTCCGGGGCCACCTGTGCCCGCACACAGGTGAGCAGCCGTACCGCGGCGATACGTGCGCAAGACCTTCCGCCCTCCCAGCTCCTACCGCAGCCACGGGAGGATCCACACGGGCAGAAGCCGCTGGTGTGCAGGCACCGTGGCAAGAACTTCAGCTGGCCCACATCCCTGCACAAGCGTGTGGTCAGGATGCACAGCACATGGGCTGCGGTACCTGCGCCTCCGCGAAGGCCGCCAGCAGCCCCCAGACCAGACGCAAAGGCCTGAGATTGGAGGCGAGTGAGGGGTCCACTCCACTCAGCGTTGACCCTTACGTGGCGACTTGAAGCACAAGGTCCCGGGCGGCTTTTGCAAGTCCGAGAAGTGGGTGAGCAGCGCTGGCTCCTTATCCCGCAGGCGGCCTGGATGCCTCAAGTGCCCTAGATACCTCGAACTTGCAGACTGGGGCAGCCTGTCTCCATGGAGACAGAGCCCGCACTCCCTCACTTCCTAACGTCTTTTCTGTTGTTGTCTCATCCTATAGTAATGACGTCTGTGTTCCCAGACCCCTGTGCTAGGCAGTCAGGAAGAGCGGCTGGGAATATACTCCTCTCTGGCCTGAGCTAAAAGTACCCCAACTTCCTGTGAGAAGCTTCACCTTCCAGAACCTTTCAGACACTGAGGACTAGTTCTGGTTATTCCCAGGCCAATATGATTCCTCACTACATTTAAAAGTCTTCTTTTACTGTATGTATCACCTTTGGGTCCATATTCCTTGGAAGGGACTGGATCTATAGGCCAGCAGGGAAGGTGCTTGCCTTGCACAGGGGCTGACCCAGGTCCAATCACTGGCATCGCCTAGACTCGCCTGAGTACCGTCAGGAGTAATTCCTGAGCGCAGAGCCAGGTGTGTCCCAAAACAAACAAAAACCCAAAAAGTTCCTTGGAAATGCTTTATTAACTGCTTCAACAATATGTACACGAGCAGATCATTGCTTCTTGTCCCGGCTAGACTAGATTAAAACCATACTGTCGGGGCTGAAGCGATAGTGCAGTAGGTAGGGCATTTGCCTTGCAAGCGGCAGACCCAGGTTCAATCCCCGGCATCCCATAGGGTCCCCTAAGAACTGCCAGGAGTAATTCCTGAGTGCAGAACCAGGAGTAACCCCTGGGTGTGACCCCAAAAATCAAAACAAAACAACAACCATTACTTTCATTGGGACTTTCTGATCAACCTCGTTAGTGTAGTGAGTTCGTCCTTCCATAGACTGACTTCCTGGTCCTACAGGTTCTTTAGGATTTCTTTATTTTTTTATTTTTTTATTTTTTTTTGCTTTTTGGGTCACACCCGGCGATGCTCAGGGGTTACTCCTGGCTCTGCACTCAGGAATTACTCCTGGCGGTGCTCGGGGGACCATATGGGATGCTGGGAATTGAACCTGGGTCGGCCATGTTGGCTGCGTGCAAGGCAAATGCCCTACCCGCTGTGCTATCGCTCCAGCCCCCAAGGATTTCTTTTTCTAGACAGCTTTTCACTATTTATGCCTTCATCCCGTGCTAGGTTTGTCATGGGATAAGTTTCTCATTTATGCTTAATTAAAATGAACGTATTTTGTTGTGATTCCTTCTTCCCCACAAGGATCAGGATGGGGGCTGGAGCAATAGTCCTGCATGGCAGGGGGGCATTTGCTTTGTACGTGGCCGGTGCGGGTTCCATCCCTGGAACCGTGTCGAATCTCCCAGCCCAGCCAGAAGTGATCCCGGAGTGTCAATGGCTGTGGACCTGTGACCCTATACAGTGAGTCAGAGGGGCCTGAGGGGCAATAAGGGTGTGATTGTGAATCTCCTCTGAGACGGTCTTTTGGTTTTTGTCTGTTTGTGGATGTCACACCTGGATGATGCTCGGGGGTGATAGTACAGTGGGGAGGGCACTTGCCTTTCACATGGCCAACCCGGGTTCGATCCCTGGATTCTCAATAAGGTCCCCCCAAGACCCTTAGGAGTGATCCTGTAGCACAGGCAGGAGTGTCAGCCCTGAGCACTGCTGAGTGTGACTCCAAAACAACCCCCAAATGTTAATAAGGCCCAAGTAGAGGAACTCTGGTTCCAAAGTGGCCACTCAGCGGTTCCAGAGTGGTGGAACTTTGGGTGCCAAAGTATAGAAAACCCCCTGCTGAGCCCGGGACCACAAAGTACCCCAGAACAGCAGCTTTTTTTTTTCTTTTTAAGGAAAGAGCATGAGAAATACAGAGGGTCTTGGAAGAAGCACTGTGCCACCCCATAATAGCTTTCTTGAATAGAACAAAATCTATTTGGAACATGGAAATTTCAGAGGGAACAGAACCAGAGGAGAAATGTTGAAACACCTTCACATCCAGGTTGGGGGACAGTGTCTAAAATGACAGTGAGGGGCTGGAGTGATAGGACAGCGGGGCACATGGCCAACCTGGGTTCAGTCTCTGGCATCCCATATGGTCCCCCAAGCACCACTAGGAATTACTCCTGAGTGCAGAGCCAGGAGTAATCCCTGAGCATCGCTGGGTGCGACCCCCAAAAAGAAAAATAAATAAATTTTAACAAAAATAAAATACAATGACAGCGAGGGGCCGGAGTGATAATACAGTTGGGAGGGCACTTGCCTTGCACACAGCCAACCTGGATTCAATTTCCAGCATTCCACAGGATCCCCTGAGCACTTCCACGAGTAATTCTTGAGTGCAGAGCCAGGAGTAACCCCTGAGCATCAGTGGGTGTGACCCAAAAAGCCAAAAATAAATCAAATGATGGCCGATTTCCCAAGGTCGGGTAGGACCTTCAATTCTGGGTACTGAATTAAGAAGCTTTAGACACTGTGTTTGCTTTTGGGGCCATACTTGCTAATGCTCGGAAGTTTTGCTCCTGGCTGTGCACCCAGGAGTTACTTCTAAGATCTGCAAGGCAAGAGCCCTACCTCTTGTACTACCTGAACAGCCCCCGGCCCTTGACATTTAGTGGTTGTTTGTTTGTTTGTTTTTAGTTTTGGGTCACACCTGGCAATGCTGAGAGGTTACTTCTGGCTCTGCACTCAGGAATCACTCCTGGCGCTGTGCTAGGGACCATTTGGGATGCTGGAAATTGAATCCAGGATGGGATGACAGGGATCGAACTCGGTCGGTCATGTATAGGACAAACACACATCCACTGTACTTTGGCTCTGGCCCCGCATTTAGGGTTTTGAGGTACAGTGACCAGAACTTACTTTTGCCAGGGTGCCCAGTACCCTCTATCACTGTCCCAAGGTTAAAATCTCAATATTTTTACATGTGGTTTTCTTTTCTTCCTTCCTCACCACACCCGGCTGTGCTCAGGGCTACTCCTGGCTCTGCACTCAGGACTCACTCCTGGTGGGCCCAGAGGATCCTAAAGGGAGCTGGGGGTCGAACCCGGTTGGCTGTGTGCAAGTCAAGCACCTTCACTACTGAACCATCTCTCTAGCCAGCTCTGCATATGCTTTTTTTTTTTTTACAGTTCAGTGTTCCAGGCAATAGCAACTGTTTGCTAGATCCATGTCTTATCTCAGAAGTAAACTTAAATCCAGCAATCCAGTAAAATGATCCAGAGATTCAGTGGATTCCCACGAGCAAAATCCGCAGAACTTGATGAGGAAAACAGAAGAAATGGCTGAAGAAAGAGAGCCAGAGTGGCAGCACAGTGGGGAAGGCACTTAGTACCTTGCACACCAATCTGGATCCAGTCCCAGCACCTCTGACCGTCCCTTGAGCCAACCAGGAGTGATTCCTGAGCACAGAATCAAGAGTAAGGACTGAGCACCTCCAGGTGTGGTCAAATCCCACCTCTCCCCGTCAAAACAAAAACATCAAGATTGGAGTACTCTGGGGTTCATTTTTATTAAGACTCAATATTATGGGGTCAGAGAGATAGAACATAGGTTAAAATTCACACACCTGCACCTTGGGCCAGAGTGATGCACGTGGCCGACCATGGTTCGATCCCCGGCATCCCATATGGTCCAATGAACACCACCAGGAGTAATTCCTGAGTGCAGAGGCAGGAGTAAGCCCTAAGCATTGGCAAGTATGACCCTAATAGTGAACACCTACACCTTGTATGGTCCCCCGAGCACCACCATTGTAGGCCTGCCAAAACTTTTAAAAACTTTTAAAATTGGAGGACTCATTAATAGTTTTTAACCATATGAAGAGCTGAGAGAAATCTTTTTCTCTATCCCTGGTTTTATTTCATCCAAGTTCACTGTCACTATCACTGTCCTCCCGTTGTTCATCGATTTGCTCGAGCGGGCCCAGTAACGTCTCCATTGTGAGACTTTGTTGTTACTGTGTTTGGCATATTGAATACATCATGAGGAGCTTGCCAGGCTTTGCCGTGTGGGCGAGATACTCTCGGTAGCTTGCCGGGCTCTCCGAGAGGGGCGGAGGAATCGAACTCGGGTCGGCCATGTTGCTTGTGTGCAAGGCAAACGCCTTACCCACTGTGCTATAACTCCAGCCCTTCATCCAACTTAGCCAAAAAAAAAAAAAATCAAACATACAAACAAATCAAAACCTGAAGCCCATGGAAGACTAATTCTTGCTGGAACCTTCCATTATGCGTTTCCATCTTTGACCTTGTGACTCAGTACATCTGGTGAACCAGCAACATTCCTGCCTGGCTCGGGGCACCCGCAGAACCTTTTGGTTTTATCTCCATGTTGGCTGATAGCTACGTGAGCCCAGGAACGTTCTCTCCTGGCCCGAGAGTGGCCCGGTGGGAAAGAGGTATCTGCTGTCTCATTTCCTCACTTTGGACACTTGCTGGTTCCAAAGGAAACTGACTGGAACTCATCCTTGCCAAGCCCGGTGAATCTGGGTTCCACGTGTGCTGCACATTCTGCCCAGAGGCTGACAGCAGTGGGGTGACGACAGATACATGGGCTGAGGAGTGAGCTCAGAGGACTTGATGTTACATGCTGGAGCCCCAGATTTGACCTCTGGTCCCTGAGCAGAGTGGACTGCAGCCCCAGAGCAGAACAAAAATTAAAACACGATTCCAGACTCGTTGAGTCACACCCCGTGGTGCTCAGGGGTTACTCCTGGCTCTGCACTCAGGAATTACTCCTGGCGGTGCTCAGGGAACCATATGGGATGCTGGGGATCAAACCCGCGTCAGCCGCGTGCAAAGCAAACACCCTACCCACTGTGCTATCGCTCCAGCCCGACTCATGCATTTTTGAATAGCAATGATAGTACAGTAGGGAGAGCATGTGCCTTGCACACAGCTGACCAAATGTTCAATCCCCAACACCCTATGTGCTCCCTTGAGCCCACCTGGAGTGATCCCTAAGCACTGC